AGACTTGTCTTAACCAGTTAAGCCCTAACACAAGTGGCTGAAGAATATAAGAAGTATAAAGAAGTAGAGCAAAGGGATGGATATTGTTGAATTGACAGAATTTGAGGATTTCTTATATAAAATGACTCTTATATCTATTACAGAGTAAAATCTGATGAGCTCCTATACGCGTTTTTCGACTCTGACGCTCAAAATGACAGATATATTCATAAGAGAGCTTATTATTTGCATATCCAGAATCTGATAGACTAATAAGCACCTCTCCTTAAAGTTCATGATAGAAACGCTCTAAATGGACCTTCTCTGGCAGAATTAGCATCTCATTAATAATAGCTTCACCAGCACTAATAGCTTTAATAGCTGTAACATAGTCGCGGCTATTATCTGAAGGTAAGTAATGCCTTTTGCACGTGAGGCAGTTACTATCCACTGACTCTTCCTAACGCCTATCTGAAAGCCTATTTCGTCAAAATTCCAAATATCCTCATTCTGTACAGAATATCTCTCTCGAAGCTGTCGAAAACGCTCAAACCAATCCAATAGCAGTTCAGGATCATGAGCAAGCTTTCGTTCAAGTTCTATAGGCTTTTGTTTGACTCTATGAAGCTCAGGATATCGATTCAGAAAGCGTCAAGTCCAATGACGGCCTACAGAAGGCGCAGAATCGTTGTTGGTATGGTCCTCCGCAAGAATAGCATTTGCTACTTGAGTAATCTAATCATATCGTACAGAGTGGCCAATTTGATCCAAAGATAGGATATATCGCAGAAGAGAGGCCTCCTGTATAGCTGACAGCTTGCAATTAACAGGCTTTCGAGTTGTACGAGGTCCTACGCCCTTAATTCGACGATATAGACGATCCTTATGAACCCCAAGTTCACGCGCTTTTGCTGCAACGTTCAAGCGCTCTCCATTCTTCTGCTCTGCAAGGAGCTCTCGTACGCCTCTAGCCACCAAATCGTCGATATCTTCGTTCGAATTCGGCATCTCGTGGGGAAGCTATACTCAAAAAACTACAATGGATATAGGGTCAAGAGCGAAATTCGCGTTACGGTGATATTCGCGTTACGGTGGCCGCCACGCGCTGCGCGCGTTGGCTTGTAGGGGGGTACCCCCTGCAAGTGGGTCCCAGAGGGATCCACCCATTGGGCCACGGATAGAGTATCCATGCATCATTTCCACACTTGATCCCGCTTCTGCAAGACGCACATGATGCAGCATACACATGGCCTTTAACTTCTGATGGGAGGGGCTTGCATGAATTAATAGCGTGATGATCAGCACATCTTGGTGTGGTTGTACAAGATCTCTCTAATTTTCCCCAGATTATATCAAGGGGCCTAAATCCCGTATGATCTGGCGAGTAGTTCTGGTTGGTCAAGTTTCAGATTGATGAGAACTCCCATGCTCAAAGTCATACCAGATAACACTCCGTACTCACAAAGCTTGCAAGGTTTTTCTGATTTCTGCATGGAGAGCTTTAAGAATCATAGCTTCGAATCTCAACCTCGATGTTTGCTGATACTTGTCTGCTCTTCATATGTCAACCCGACTGGGAAGTAGGTGAACGAAACCAGAATGATGGGAGCTGCGCCTGTTACTCATACTTTCTCAAATCTCTCTCGCCGCTTGTGCTGCGTATGCATCGCCACATTCTCCAATGGCTCATGCCGACCTTGCTCCTGCTGAATATGTGCCAAACCAAACAAGTTACACAGGTTCGGACAAGGGCTTTTGTTTCGAGCAGAGGGCACGGGAAGCCTATAGGGTCAGAAAGGCCGGAACAAATCTTCTTGCTTAGACTGTCACACAAAGCTACTGCTATCTAGAAGGCCACCTGAAAGCATCCATCAGCTAGGTCTCCAGTAGAAAGAGATCCTGGTCGCACTGTTCATGAGTATCTGTCATGTTCACCCACTCCTCCTTTATGTCAAGACATGCATGCGTTCTTTGTTTGCAATCATTATACTCGACTTCTATCAAGTAAACGGCGCTGTAGATAGCTGCAAGACACTTCGACTTTATCCTACATGAAGACATTCAAGACAACTGTGGTAATGGAGAGTCGAACATCACTCGTCTGCACGTAGCCTTCTAAGTGGATGGCAGGATATTGGTGTTGACAAGCATAACAGCCTAGTAGCACACGTACTCCGTCTTTGAGAGTGGCTGGTCGATGCATCGCTTCACCTTACATCATATAAGGAAAAGAACAGATCGGTCCATCGCTCAAACCGAATGAGCTGGTGAGGAAGTGGGAATACTCGTGCAGCCGACAAATACACTCTAGCGTGACAGATCCTTCCTTATATGGTATAGTATGTAGGGATGTCGAGCTCGAATCGAGAATGGCCATAAAACAGTAATCGTCCTCTCATAGCTTGCTAACATGATAGATTTGGCTCAAATTTTGACAGTGATCTTCTACATCTTTTCGAAATCTTTCATGTTTGATTTGCTTTTTGATGGTGGAGATATTGCAGTCGATGGGAAGAATGCCAAGAGTCTAAACCTCTATAGGAAGGTACACCCTTTTCGGCGGCACCGAGGAATGAATCCGGGTAATGACGTTGTACTACGTATGAAGAGCATGACCCGATCACATGCATTGAGAAGCGCGTCTTTGTACGACTGTCGCGTTTCTTGTTCAGTATACATAGAGTACCGTAATAGAATTGTGTGTGCAACATTGTTGTAGTGCTTTAGTTGTTCCTTCAGTGTCCGGCCTTTGACCCAATATTGCAGCTCTGGTCAACGGCATGACCTACATGAAATATGTCCGAACCACCGATCGAGGAGCAAGGCGTTCAATTATACCAGCATGATCCATCGCAGCGCTCGGTCGTGTCTTCGGGAAGGACTTTGCTACCAGGAACCATTGCATCGCTCGTCACCACCTTTACCCAGACCGCTTCGTTCGGTCTTCGAGTCGGCACTAAATTAGGGGGTTTTGCAATCGCCGGGGCTCGAGAAACCACTCTGACGAGCCTCGAGCTCACACGAGCTGCCGTGGAAGCTATCTTGACTCGTGCTGGCAAAGATGTGTCGGAAAGAAGGACTGACGAACTTGGGAGGGAGGAGGCTGAGAGCACACTCGAGCGAAGCGTTAGTGGAGTCACCTCTATCTAAGCTAACAGTACTGACCATGATCACAGATTTCATCACTACATTCCACCATAGCATCTATCTCCTTCTTTGCGTCCTCGGGCTTCTACCTGTCTACAGCCGTCCTCACATCTGCTTCGGCGCTGTCAATGCAGGGGCTTTCAACCCTTAATGCAGTACTAGGATCTACAGAGTCTTCTCGAGCAGTCGCTGCAATTATAGAATTAATCAAAGATGAGTTTAAAAAACCCGAAATGGGAAGAGAGAGTGAATTTGTTGGATACTTGGACCTGTTCAGTGGAACGGTGGGCTTTGTGTTGCTGCAGCGATGGGGTAGGCGCAAGACAGAACAGGAATTCCGCGGGAACGGAGGTGAAGAAGTCATCTGGGATGCTGTAATAGATGACCGCGGTTTTAGAGCTGACGTTGTGGGCACGAAAAAGTCAACATACTTTGCCAGTGGCCATCCCGCCGGCGAAGAAATAATGCGTCGAGGACGGCCGGTTTCATTCCTTTCCCCTGCCGGAGACGAAGCCATCGAAGCCATAGAGAGGGGAACAATCCACGAGATGCCAGCTGTCTCTCTGTCTACTGCTGACCAAACCCGACTGTCTGACGCAGAGATCCGAGAGCATATTCTGAGTCAATTGCCTAAAGGATGTCATGCTGTGATTGCTTCCGAGACTATTACTGCAAAGACGATCAGGGTCGATCTTTACAATACTACTGTCACCGAGGTCACTCCACCCCCTGGGACAGTCATGGTCAGGGAGCACTTCAATCACACCGACGCTAATAGCTCAACTGGGGAACAGCACATCCCCTCACAAACCGTGGTCTTCAGGACGGCTCTGAGAAGAACGAGTAACGCCGATGTTGAGCCCACAGATAGACATAGACTGACCTCCCTGAATCACGCCCATCCTGATACGCCATATGATTCCGACGATGCCGTTACTATGGGGGATATGACGGCTCCGCAACAAACACGACCAATGCCTCCTGTACGACCAGCAAATCAAGTCATCTCAACTTCTAATCCCGGCTCAGAGAGCGAAGAAGAGCTAGACTACCCAGCCACACAACTGTCAAGACTAGCAAGGTCTTCTGTTATACCGATCGCAAACCAGAAAAAGGCTCGACAACCAGTACCATCATCGGAATCAAGCTTTGATGCGGTCAAGCAGGCCATGACAAAGACGTCGATGACTGGCTCAATCAAATCTTCCTCACCAACACATGGAAAGCAGAAGAAGGTTGGACCGTTCATGAAAGCTTTGAAACAGTTGAGCCCAAGTGCTTCCTCAGCTCGCATCCAAGAAAATCTGAGCGCACGTTCCTCAAAGCCTGCCGAGTTGCCGATTGCTACGAAAGCATCTTTGGCAAAGTCTACATATAAATCACAAATTCCTCGCATGACGTCCTCGCAAAATTCGCAGAACAAGTCTCTTCCTCAAGTACCAGCTCAACAAAGCAACCGCCACTCTGCAGGGAGAAACGTCCTGTCGCCTCAGATACCGCGTTCTCCATCACCTCCAAGCTGCTACGCTGTCCGGGAGAGACGTCATGACAGTATGGTACACGAAACCGAGACTTATTCAACTCACTCGTTTGAAAACCGACCCGGCTCACCAACCGTTGTCAGAACTCATTCTACAAGCATGAGTGGTTTGTCCAAGGCCAGGTCAGACCGAGATGTCACTATGTGGAATGCTGGCGAAGGGTTTCCCATCGCTTCAGAAACCAATCAGCATAGAAGATCCAAATCCTTCATTTCCAGTCTCTACTCGATGGCCTCTAGTGGATCTGAAACCTCACTCATTTTAGCCCCCAAAGGATTGGTTCCTAGGCCTAGCATTTTCGATGATCATGAGGTTCTTTCCGCCCTTGCTGCTGAAGGGAAGGTTCCTGGTATCTTCCCCAACGACCATCTTGTACGAAATGTTCGTCGATATGCTCGATTCTCCTCGGCATCGTACGGATCCCACTTTCTGCGGTTCATGGGCTTGACAGCTGCAGATGCAAACCTCAAAATCTCAGCCGAATTAGAGAAGGCAGATATCCACCACGAGCACACTTCCTTTTGCAGGCATACTGGGCTGCCGCCTGACACGATATTGCTTTCTTCATTTGAAGATCCACATGGTGGGATTGATTACACTCGATCAACGTCGACTGCCCTGCCTCTGGTGCACTTCATCTCCATCGATCGTGAATCGAAAGCCGTTGTGCTGACGTGCCGTGGTACGCTCGGCTTCGAGGATGTTCTAACGGACATGCTCTGCGACTTCGATGATCTGTATTGGCGTCGTAAGGCCTACAAAGTGCACAAGGGGATTCACGCCTCCGCTCGGCGCATGTTATGTGGTAAAGATAGCCGTGTGATGGCCACTCTTAAAGCAGCACTAGAAGAATATCCCGACTTCGGGCTCATCCTGACCGGTCACTCTCTTGGAGGCGCTGTAGCCTGTCTTCTCGCTATCCTCATCGCTGAGCCCAGCACCATCGAAGAATCCGGCGCCCAATTCACCACCACCACACCTCAGAAATTAATCGCCCATCCTGACCTCGCCCACAACGACATGCCACCACCCATCACCCTCCCCGGCGGCCGCCCCATCCACGTCTACGCCTACGGCCCCCCGGCAACGTTATGCCCTTCCCTCCGCCTCGCCACCCGCGGCCTAATAACCACAATCGTAAACTCCAATGACATCGTCCCCTCCCTCTCCCTCGGCATCCTCCACGACTTCCGCACCGTCGCCCTCAACCTCAAACACGACACAACAGGCGCCATCGCCGCGCTGAAATCACGGGTTTGGGACCGCGTCCGCCATGCCGCTCAGAGCGCATTCTACGTCGACAGCGGGGTGCCTCCACCACCCGAAAACACGGCAGGCGACGGGCTGGGAGAGGATACGTGGGCATGGGCTGCGCTTAAGACCTTACGCGCCGGGATGAAGAGCGAGAAGTTGGTGCCGCCCGGCGAGGTGTTCGTGGTGGAGACGATGCGGGTTTTCGATCGGCAGCCACAACACAACTCACCGCCACAGGGAGGGGTTCTGGGAGATTCGGCGACGGAGAGGGTGTTTAAGAGTTTGGGCAGGCCGGCGACGAGGGTGCAGATGAAGCTGATCAGGGACGTGGAGGGCAGGTTTGGAGAGCTGCGATTTGGAAGTCGCATGTTTAGTGATCACAGTCCGGCCAGGTATGAGGCCAGTCTTGCGGCGCTGGGCACGGGGATTTTGGAGAGTTAATCAAGAAGCCATCGATGACGAACTATGGGACGGACGGAGGGGTCGGTATACGGTATACGTATAGATGGAGGTGCGGCGTGTTATAGGTTGGAGGGCATTCTGGCGGACAACGGGGCAGGTGGGGCCTTTGGACTTGGTGGTACCGGATAGCATGGATAGCGGATGCAGTTACGGTCACGGTTTACGGCTATAACTACGGACAGGATGAATGATGAATGCCAGGAACTCCGAGAGAGGATGGGGGGGCGGAAGCCTGGGGAGACCAGAAGAGAAGGGATGAATGAATGACACACGAACGAAAACAGCCATTGATGGGATATTCCAATCTGCATAACCATAGCCGGCTAAGGGGTTGCTGGAGAGGCATAAATTACTTAGAGGGTGACGCTGGCAACTAACTAACTTAGATCCCATCGTATTTGGTTGGGGGGGAAGGGGGGGGGGTGCATGGATGGAATCAAAGCCCCTTTTCCCCCGCTTGGGGGCACATCAGCATCTTTGGGCATGTGTCCTTCCTCACCAACTCCGTAGACAGTGCGCGCATGCATAGCCTGTCAGGGTATGGTAGTACATAGACCGAAGCAAGCGGAGGCGAGCGGTTCGGTGGAACCATCGCTAGTTGGGACACCGACCAACCATGTGACCTTAGTAAAGGGGCTTTGATATATATATATATATATATATACCTACAGGATGGCCACTCATTGCAGGCAAGGGAAGTTGCGGGCCCGCCACCAGAAGGGATTGTAAACTGACATGGAGCGGATCGATGCCTTCGGGGTTCTGAGCTCCTGGAATTCGACGGATGGATCAGATGATTTCTAGCTTTCTTGGTTTATTTTACTGGGAGCTATGCTAGGCTAGACTAGACTGGGCTGCTGATCTGTGCTTGGTGATTGACGTGTGGGTATGGGGTATGGGTATGTATTTATGTATGTACATCTAGGGAGCGATGCAGCTGGCTACCCAGCAGCAACAGGAGGAGAGAATGAAGTGGGTCATGCCACGGACCTGTGTGTCATGAATATCCGCGTACGTGGGGATGTTGATGTCAAGAATGAAGATGACTATGACGTTAAGGCTAGTTAAGAGCTGAAGTAGGATAAAGAAGAAGAGAAAAGCCGGCCTCTACTTTTAGGGGGTGGTTATCGAGGTCTTGAGATAGACGAGTGCGCTACTCTAACTATGCTTGATGTTTAGAGTGAAGTCGTCTGACTGTGCTGGAGTTCGGCGTTATGCTTGCTTGCTTGATTGATCGACTGTTCGGCTTGCCCCTTCCATCCTGTGCCCCTGACGGTGGTAGTGGTCGTGCTAGCGAGGCAGGCAGCTCACCATAAATTTCTTTGAAGCTGTGGCTGGTGCTACCGTCTTCCGTGTCTGGAGGGCCGAATCGGACACTCCGAGTATCAGAACTGCCGCCAGATTTAGCTAGTGATATCCTCGGAGGCTGCGGCTGGGGTCGGAAATGGCAGTAAGGTCCATCAGAGGAGGAGGCTTGCGCAGCTGGCAGATATCTTAGTGGAGGCCGGTAGATTGATTGGTTCCCTGATGAGCTGCTCGCAAGAGCTGCTTCTGCCGCGGCTCTGGACCAACATGCCGGTTCAGATTGTCTTTGAAACCGATCTTTCATCGGCTGCAACCCCCAGTCCTTTCTCTGGTTGCAGGTCGTTGCAGTGGCAACAGACACGTCATGAAATCGTGAGCCTGCCGGCCTTGCTCGAACCGGGAGTATGCTCCGAGTTGGTGTGCTTTCGCTTCCGAGGAAGCAAGTCAAAACCCTATCCTGGTTTCAAGCTCTCCGCTGTTTCTTTCCTCTGGAGATGTATGTCTGCATGTCAGTTCCGTCTCTTCAGTCACTTCACCGCTGTTCCACTTCCCAATTTCTTCATCTTTTCCATCCTCACCCTTTCTAATTCCTCCCTCCTGTTGGCTTTCTCCTTTACCTCTGCAATCTTGTTCTCCAGAGCTGCCCTCTGCATCGCTAATTGTACCTTCGTGGTCTCCAAAAGCGCGATTTGCTGCTCTACATTCAGCTCGCCGGTTCCCTGTTTCTTCTTCCGTTCCTATTTTTATAAAATTTAGGGGAGAGGTTAGCCCATGTCACATCTCATAGGATTGTTGGTATAAGGAAAGATAGAGCGAGAGAAGCAGAATGCAACATCGATTGGAACGAAGAAGGGACAGGACGTATACCTCATGCACACTGATCTGCTGGCCTGATTTCAACGTGGCGCCAATGAGGGCTCCGGAGACGGTGATGACGGTTACGCCGGCAGTCAGAGCTAGAGTACGGCGACGTTTGAGTACCGGGTCCATTCTCGGGTTCTCCGCGTGATTGATGTAGATGTCACCGGGTGCTCATTGTGTCCTGCTAGACAGAATGTGCTTGTTTCAGAAGGGAGGTAGATTTGGGTCTACTACGATGTAGATGGGACAACTGAAGAGCTTGTTTTGGGTGTTCGCAATTCCATGCTCGTGCAGGGCGTGTTCCATAACTAGCGGCCAGGCGTGGTGAGCACTCCCGCGACATCTCGGCCATTACTTATGATACTACTACTTCGGCCCCACTGGTCTGAAATCGTAGATAAGATTCAGTAAATTTACCGAGTAGTCGGCTATCGATTGAAGTAGACTCCGCCGGCAGGATCGAAATGAAAGTCAGCACCTCATGAAAATGCTTTGTCCCAGACCGACGTAGGATCATCTCGCAATCACCCACACTACCGTCCGTGATCTTGCGATGCACACAGCACAAGCCCATCCCTCTTCACCCTAACTTAGTACCTTAGGCTTGCCCGAGTGATAGATCATGTCCACCCCTCGATGTTTCATTGTTCGACACGGCGAGACCGAGTGGTCCCTCTCCGGCAAGCACACCGGGTCCACCGATATCCCTTTGACATCGAATGGAGAGAAACGGGTACGAGCCACAGGTCGAGCGCTAGTGGGAGACGATCGATTGATCGTTCCGAAACAGCTTGCCCATATGTATGTACACTGAACCTGGTCTATCCAAGTTTGCACTGAGTCTGGTGCTGCATCAGCTACGTAAGCCCTCGATCGAGAGCGAAGCGCACACTCGAGCTCCTGGGACTGGGTTGCCGGGATCCGTATCCGTGGCAGAAGTCACGCAATGAGTCGGAACCCGAACGTACAGATGCCAAGGTGACAGTGACGGAGGACATAAGAGAATGGGATTATGGAGAGTACGAAGGTATAACAAGTAAAGAAATCCAGGAGAGGAGGAAGGTGGAAGGACTTGGACCGTGGGATATCTGGAGGGACGGATGTCCGGGTGGGGAGTATGTTGGCCGTTTCTTACGTATATTTGTCATAGGACCTGCTGCTGATGAGTTTGGGTTGGGACTAGGTCGCCAGAACAGATCGTGGAGCGGCTGGATAGGTTGATTTCAGAGATCAAGACCCTGTATCATGCTCCAGCAATCGGGAAGCCAACAAGCGAGGCTACATCGAACTGTGACGTGCTGGTGGTGGCGCATGGCCATATCCTTAGAGCCTTTGCCATGAGATGGATTGATAAACCGCTGACGCATACGACGTTCTTGCTGGAAGCAGGAGGTGTGGGAACTTTGAGGTGAGTTTCGCGCTCCAAAGGCCTTCATATGCCGCTATCAAGAGTCTTGGGCGACTTGATTGGCTCTTGGAGAATGGAGTCACTGACTTCTCCGATAGTTATGAGCATCACAATCTAGACGAACCAGCCATCCTGCTGGGGGGTGGCTTTGTCGTAGGAGAAAGCAAGTAGCTGCTATGCAGAAGTGTGGAGAAACACAAACACATTGTCCAAGTCGTTCTTGGTATCTTGGTAAATGTTCGATACCTGCATGCCTCGCTTGTGTGCGTAGAGTGCATACAGCTAGAACAGATAGACTCCAGTTGCTCTGAGGAACCCCAATCCTCTGCTCTGCGGGAAAAGCATCTAACCATCAGAGCAGATCCGGTCAAATGATATATCGAGGCTACTAGGATGGAAAAGAAGCCAAAAGCCCACAGCCAGCTATGCTATTCCTCACTTCCACGTACTTCTCGAGTCAGTCCCGAGAAGGATATTAGCCATTTTCAGTAAGACAGTATCCAGGTACGGTAGGGGACGATCTCTGTTGTGCAAGCTGCAGGAGGGCAGCTAAAATCGCTCAGTACGTCTGGATGATGAGGACAGAGAAACCCTCAGCTACTGGTACTGGAAAAATGCTCGTGGAGCTGAAGGCTGAAGCCACAAAGATGAACAAGAGAGCAGCGTTCCGCGGGCTTGTAAAGGACATTTTCAGGGTACGCGGCTCGCTATGGTAGGGGTCGTTATGGCGTAGCCTTTCGATCAAGGAAATAATAATATTTTACGTAGCACTCAGCAGAGCAAGGGGCACAAATGACAATGTCTCTCTTGGAGTAGCGCCTCGTGTTCCTTTAGTTATCCCTGTGTAGCTGTGCTTCGACTTAGTTAGCGGCCGACTGTGTTGTGCATCGTCACTTTGCACGGCAGGCGTCTGCATGCCTTGAGCACCCCACGTTGCGTGAGCTGTCTCAATGGAGCTTATTAGTGCAGTTGCGAAGATGATACACCGCAGAGACCATGCAGACCATTGGGTGTGCATAGTGGGACCATATGACTGTTACGGCACAGGTTATGTTCTTCAATTTGATGCGTTGATGTACTTCCAAACTCTCTTCCCGGTACTTTTCAAGCTGACATACCCGTTTTCATGCCATTGAGAGTTTTGAACGATCCTTGCTCTTGTAGCCTTCTGTGATGACTGGCGGAAGTCTGCCGGGTCAGTTGTACTGTATAGCGACAGGGAGGTCGATCGATGTGGACATCCTGGCAGCAAGCTTCACTGTGTTTTGACATGATCGGGTCTACGACTGGCCTTTGGGACGTAGAGCGATGTTCGCGAGAATTGTTAGATAGATCGAGGTCTGGATGCCATACGCACTGAGATGGGAGGGAGGAGAAGGAGGAGAGGGAGGAGAAGGAGGAGAGGGATGAGAAGCACGCAGATGCTATTTGGTTGTCAGCGCCTCAACTCTGTACCACTATGTGCTTTGCTGTGAGGGGAAACTCGGAACAAACATTTCGTGATCTGGGGAGATGGGGAAGGGGTAAGGCTTGCACAGTCTGGACAATTCGAGTAGACAGCTTCTCCCCTGACTCTATTAGGCTTATCCTCCCTCGCCTAAGCACTCGTCGGAGACTACATTACGAAGCGTTCCGAGAAGCTCCGCAGTCAGGAAACATACTTATTAGTCAAATTGACCTGCCTTGGCCATCATGCCCTGTCTCGCCTGTCCTCGCCCCTTCTGTCCTCTTCCTCTCCCACGATAGCCTCCACGTGCACCAAAGCTCCCGCCTCCTTTCCCTCGACCACTCTCACCGGCCTTATCGTGCCTCTGATTCCCTCTACTGCTACCTCCATATTGACCTCCTCCACCGCCTCTCCGTCCCACGTGGAAGTCAATCTTCTTCAGGGGCTTCTCAATCATATCTTGTCCTTCTAGTTCATGCTCCTTTTTTTCCTCATCATTCATCTTCCAAGCTTGAAAGATCTTTTGCAGATCGTCCAACCCCCTCAGCTCTGGCACCCAGGCTTTGACATAATCGCCGTCCGAGTCGTAGTCGAAAGACTGCTTGATTGGGTTGAATACTCTGGCTTCTCCCCGCGGATCATTTCCTACACCAGCGACGTATTGCCAATTACCCCAGTTGTTGCTGACATCGTAATCAACCAGCAAGCACTCGTACCATTCTGCGCCCAGCATCCAATTGATGCCGAGGTGCTTGCTTAAAAAGCTTGCCACATTCTGCCGTGCGCGATTGCTGGTATAGCCGGTGAGGAAGAGCTCGCGCTGACTCGCATCGATAAGACCTGTGCCGGTGGTCCCATTTAGAAAGCGGGTAAGCATCTCTTCCAACTCCGGCTGTGCTTTGCTTGGCATCTTCCACGGATACGAGTCATCATTTCGAAAGCCGCTCAGGTGAAATAAACGTGGCCCGAACTTCCTCGTGCAGAGTCGCATATAGTCTCGCCAGAGGAGCTCAAACCGTACCGCTGCAGTACCTGGATTCTCACCCTTTCCGTAGCCCTGGATGCCTTTCCACTTGCCTCCATCTGTACCGTCTTCGAATGCAAGAAGATCATGGTGAATTTGTCGTGCCGTGATACATCCAAGTGCGAGCCAGGCAGAGAGCTTTGTGCTGAAATCTGTTCCGAGAAGTCCGTTGCGAGTGTCTTTATAATGTGTCATGCTTGCTGACCGGATCAAATGGTCTATTCTGGCATGACCAGCCTTCGAACCACCATGGAATGGATGGGCCGATTTGGTTCCGCATGGTATCGATGACGGTTCGTTTTTGACGAATGGTGCGGAAGTGATTGGCTTATGGAGGGCCGAGATGATACTGTCCAAAGATGTTGGGATAGAGAAAGGAGACGACTGGGACGGCACATCAGGTGGTTGTGGCAGAAGCCGGGTTGGCGTTGGAAGGACGCGGCGAGGCGCATTTCGTAAAGGCTCTACAGATTTGCGATAACTTGTGAAGACATCCGGCAGGTCGCTGGCTTTTGAATGTGGTATGTCACGGCTGGGTGAAAGAGGTAAAATTAGTCCCAGATGGAAGTGAGTATCCAGAAATCACAAATAAGAGAACATAAAACATACTCGTCGATCAAGTACTTCTCGTCAACCCATAGGCGAAATTCATTGCCGTCTGCTTCAACTACTCGTCGGACGTCCTGTTCCTCGCACTTCTCCTCCACGCCCTCTTCGCTGGTCATCCACAATCCAAAGACTTCAATCGCCCCGGACTTTTTGCAACTTTCCAAAAGTTCCTTAACTACATCACCGACCATGCCGACCCTAATGTTCAAGCCGCTGCCGATTGCCTCAAGCGAGGTCATGAGATCCCAAATACTCTCTGCGAGGAACGTGGCTCGACGTGGACCACATCGCCAAAATCCACCATGCTGTGATCTGGCTTCTGGATATGGCGAGCGGCGATCGGGGGAAGAAAGAAAACCTGAAACCTCTATCTGTTGAGCGGAGAACACATACAAGGGTAAAACGTGGGTATAAGGTTGCTTCGATTGCTGAGACGCTTTGAAGATCTCATAGAAGATAGGGTTGTCTGCGAGCCGTAGGTCTCGACGAAGAAGATATATTAGAACCCTGGGCATAGCCATCGACTGGCCGAAGTTGGTATATCTGAAAATTTCAGAAAATGCTAGACAATGCGAGGTATAAGAAGGCAAAAAGAAACTTGGTTTGCTACAAGGCCGCCTTCCGACGAATCAAATAACAAGGCTTGCAGGCGTTCTTGTGGCAGTCTGGTCCAGAAAAAAAGTATTACGCGAAAAGGAAAAAAAGGACTAAGCATATGAGTGCAAGGGATTAAAGGATGTTTCTGGTCGAGGATCGGATCGTGGCAATCCGAGGATATTGCAGGCCATGTCAGTAGGTGCACTAGGAAGGGAAGATCGTTCGGATCGTAAGTACCATGTATCGGCTCCACAGGTCAGCAGTCTTTTGGTACCAAGTCCCAACACCTGGAGCACGAGCGCATCGGAAGTGGTTCAAAAAGTCCGCTATGACAAGGGATTCCTGCCTGCAAGGCCGTGAGGAGCCGAGCGACCTTGACTGCTCACTACGGTCAAATCTCTGTTTCCGCCAGAATTTTACGTAGGCGTCTGGCTGGTCGGTACTTCTCTTGCAAGTAACCGAGGTCGTTGGATCGTTGCCAGTGGCCCTCTGAAGGGGGTTTGAGCGACGTCAAGATTGTAAGCTAAATTAGTATAGCCCCAGCAACAAGCAGGCTAAAGAATGCAAGATCTTAGCTTGTTCAGAACCAGATGAATCTAACCGGACCCAGCTGGGCAGTCCACGTCTCTTCTGGCGTCAACAGCCGATGATTGGTTTCAGTACGAGCAGCAGTTTGTTTCTAGACCCTGTCAATAACAGCACAGCTACTTGCCCTAGCACAAATAGCTCTGATGTGCAAGTTCTAAAATCCAGCTGAATGCATATTGCTTGTCGTTGTTACGCTTTGGCTGTTACGATTTCTGCAACTTGTTGGAAACGAGATTTTTTGACAGCTCATGGTGATGAGGGTTTATTCTCATTCGCTGTGCTGCATACATTGCCAGCTGGCTAGGCTTATGCCTGCAGTCTCGATCTCGTCGGCGTGCGAGCCAAATAGTGTTGGCTACGTGGAAGTAATGAGCATTATCGCAGGGGCAATCTCACACGCTGTCAGCGTCCGTTCATCAAGACGAACCTTCGACTCGCCCGCTGCGTACACAAATCGCAAGCTGAAGCAGCACTAATGCCTGAAGTCATAGTATCACTTCTTCCATGCAGTCCAAACGTCGTTCAGCAAACTGTGCACTGTAGTTATGGTCCACCACGTCGCCCGAGGATTGTTCCGCACGGTGCCGATTCTTGGCGACGTGTCTCACTCTGGCTTCCTGTTCTCTGTTCTATCATCCAATGTAGCTACTTATCGGAAAGTGACCCGATCCCGCCGGATCCGGTTACACCAGGATTGAGTGGTAGTTACGAGGTCTGATACGCATCGGTCAAGCGGGTCGAAGACATAGCCTTCCCAACTACAACCACTAAGGTCTCCGTCTTTGGCGCCAATGCAAAGCCTGCCGTATGTGTTGAGGTAGATGTAGAGGTTTGCACACGAAAAGTGATGTGTTGCTTTAGCCAAACAGGTTCGCTCGCTCTAGCTCGCTTGATGTACGAATAATACTGCTCGGAGAGATCCGAGGATCCGAAAGTCCCTTGCAGTCTGCAGGAGTTTGGCACAGGAATGTCAGCATCTCTATTTGCCTCGTAGTCATGGACCGGCCGTTGTGGAAATCATTCTACCGGTTGGTAGTGCTTGTATACGTGCTACCTATGATCACTAAGACCTCAATAGGGTTCTCCCAAATTTTCTGCATTGCAAGTTCTGGGTCGAGTCTGTGATGGCCCTGCTCACCCACTATTCGAACCCCAGCTTTGACTTTCGGAAAATATCTGGAGAACGGTTGGAGTAGTATCTAAGAATTGACACAGACCATGATGTTCTTGTTGAAAACGTTCCTGCAGTTTTCTTGCAGAGATGACTACTCAGCACGGTAAAGCAGGACCTTTGACAGGATCGGTTGCAGCATCACGCTTTTCTTGTCGTCTTCGCATCATACCCAGGGCTTGCCAGGTAATCCATTTCCGGTAAACTTGTCGTGGCAGTCCCGATTGCTGTCTCATCTGGTTATGGATCCCAGAGAGGGGCAGCGATAGACATCGAGATCGCATGACCATCGCCGCAGGATATTCGTCAGTGTCTGACATGTCTTCGGTAACAATATCCAAAAGCAGTGCACTGGCTCTCCTTACAATATATACGCCAGCGAACGAGGCGAGATTCATAACGTGATAGCAGTCATGGTCGAACTCGTCATCGAGCATTTGACGGACCGCTTCAGCCGGAGCATCAGCGGAAGACTTTTCCATTAGGAGAGTGCTGCTCCTCGGCGCCACCTCCTGATGAGGATGGTGTCAATAGAAAAAAAGCTTTCTAGACAAACATGATTGGTCCGCGCATGATCTCAGCTGCGGTGTAGCTTGTCTCATATTTTCGCAAGGACCTGCCTGATGTAGTTAGCAGATGTGACTCCACCAGGGCTTTTGTTTAGCGGGGCTGGGCTCGCTTCAAGGTGGACTTACAGAGCGACGTTCCGCTTAGATGTCCTCCTGTCGAATCCTCGTGTGCCTCTAATTCGATCAGGAAATAACGATTCGATGTCTTCCAGATAATGAAGGAAGATCAAGATATTTGCATGGAGCATTGGGTTGAGGAGCATGACGTTGTGTGACAGGTCCCCAGGTGCACGGCTTGTGGGGTTTTAGATTGTAACTTGATGAGATCGATGCTGTGGATTATTACAACATGTTCGTTTAAAGGAGAGGCTTCAACGTACGGAGTACATACATCAATTTCAGAAATTTTCACGCGCGCGTACTGTTCCGACAAAGAGCTTACCAACATCGAACAATGCCATTATACATGAAGAGAAACCAGTATTAAAGACCGCGAAGCTTAGCTCTATCATAAACCAACCCACCGGGTTCTTTTATGCTCCGGGAGGAAATGAAGGATAACCAACACAGATTTCTCCCCGACCTAGATTTGCTGCTCGACGTTTCACACAATATAATCGCGAAGCACTAAGGACGCGAAGTTTTGTTGATAGCCAGGAGAAGACATCCGTTTGGCATGTCTTGCTGCTAATTATTTGGAAACAATCATGCATGTAAATCACCGCCTGGATCGGTGATCTGCAGAAAGCCCGGAACCAAAGAAGAGTAGCAAATTGGTATCAAGCCGCCAGAAGAAAACGGTGCCGAGGAACCCCATATCCAACCTTACCATCATAAAAGTTAAACATTAGTAGGTCCATCATAGCCCGAGCTCGCCAGCTCGTTTGCAAACGCGACCCTGGTAAGCATACACCAGTGTACTCGTACAACAGATTAACGCAAAGTACTTTGGAATCAGCTTGATGCCGATCAGGCCTGTTCGCTTGCGACAGTACTGTCATCGGCATCATCGCTATGCGACTCGGTTCTCATCACAGCGTCTTCCCCCTTGCTCGAGCTCTCTTCACCGCGCTTACCACAGCCCTTGACAAGAATATGTCTCTGTTGACCAAGTTAGTGCAGCTCGTCTAATCCTAGGATAGTGATGTTTATACCTTGAGGGCGTCCTTCCGGGAAAAACTTTTATCACAATGTGTGCAGGGAAACGGCTTCACAGCAAGGTGAATTCTCTTGTGTCGCTTCAGATCGTGATTCCGGTTGAAGCTTTGAGGGCACTGATCGCATTTGAAGGGCCGGTCATTCGGTACCGACTGATGATGTTGCTGCTGTGGGTTGCTGTTGTACATGTTCTGGGCATTGGCAGCGTAACCACTGTTGAATTGTGGCATCATCCCCTGCTGCATGTTGCCGACCATCGACATTTGGTTACCGGGACTATGTACGTTCGTCATGATAGCACCCTGCATGGCAGGAAGCGAGTATGAAGGGTACGGCGGACGGACAAAATGTGCCTGTGACAGCGTGTTGTTTACAGGCGAATGTCCCATTGAGGGTGAGATGCGTGAGGTCGGAGGAGCGCTGGCAGGATGAGGGCTATGCTGGATTGAAGAAGGACCACCATACGGGAAACTTGGTTGCTGAGGCGTCGAAGATGGTTGAGAACCTCCATACAAGGTTGGTGCTGATGCAGACTTTTGGCTCATAGCTTCTGAAGAGCTAATGGGAGGTGAGTGACTCGTCGTAGCTGTGCTATTCTGGGACGATATCATAGCATTGGACATGGCTTGCTGCTGCTGTTGAAAAGCGACAGCCGAGTTTGGCGGTGCGGACATTGACATTGATGATTGAAAAGGAGGTAGGACATTCATGTCGTAAGTTGATGATGGTGGCGGCGGCGGTGGTGGCGGTGGTGGCAGGCTCTGACCCTCGCCGCCCGATGGAGAGTTGTTGCTATTTCGTACGAGTGAGCCTAGTGATGGAGAAAACATCCCACGCGTTGGGAAAAAAGCATTCGAGCCCTGCCATGTGGGTGTGAAACCGGTGTTGTATGGTGTCGTACCCGTACCAGTTGGCCAATAACTGCTTGGTGTGTAAGGCAGTATGCCCTGATTGTTTTGGTTGCTATTGTTGTGAATACCGCCAGCAGGGCTCGCGGAATCGGAATTGCTGTTAGACGGTGGAGTGAGAAGATTGCCCACGCTCACAGCCGATGTTGCCTGCTGGGGAGCGTTGGATACAGGGTAGGAAGAGTATTTCTGAGCAACGCTTGCTGCGAATTGCGACAAAGGTGGTGGTGGAAGTTCAAATGCAGGAAGGTTCGAAGCAGCGTGACGCCGGGCAGTCAGGCTCTGAGGGGCATTGAGCGCATCTAGAGCTGTCCCCATCGCCAAAGGCGTGATTGATGCTACCGCCGCCAGATTTGCGAACTTGTCTACCGATTGGCCTCCTGGCCTCGAGTGCTCGCTGCCTTTTTCCGGCGCTATGGGGACCGTTGTTTGTGCTTGCTGCGATGCCTGTGAGTGTGGAGGCAGAAGCTGAGGCCAGGTACGACCTGTTCGCGAGGTCGACGAATCCAGGGAGGGCGACGCTCTAATAGACACTAATCATCCGGTTCTCCAGATATTCCGGAAGAAGTGAATCCTGGCAACTCAGATTCTTGATGGCTTTATGAATCTAGCGTTGCAGGAATTTGACCCCTACTGCCAGGCAAGAAAATAGAGTCGTCAGCCAAAGAAACCTCAGGTGCGATTCTAGTCGAGAAAACCTGAACTGTCCACTGCAACGACGTGACTGCGAAGGATGCTTAGCCGGCGGATTGGTGGAAGGTGTGTTCGGACTAAGTTAAGAGGAACAAGTATTACAGGAGACAAGTATCCTAGTCGGGCGGACCTCTGAGACTTGCACCAGGAGGCAGATTGAAGACACGACAGGACTCTGTGGGATTTAGGCGACTCTCGCAAACTTGAATCGTATGAGAATTGTGTGTACGATAGTCATGAGAATGCGCGATGTTTTCTGAGATACGATCTCTGTGGTGTTGGGTAATGTCCGTGTGGAGCAATCTGGCGGACGATCAGTGCGCTTAAGCCGTATCCCTTGAGTTCCTGGTCGGTGGGCATGAATAAGCTTAGGCGATCCAGTGAAACCAACCCAGACTCCTTAAGCACGAACACGGTCAAGCTGGTTGGTCTGCAATCTTTTCACCACTCTGCTTGTTACTCCCAGATAGCTGTTCCCTTAAAGATGGCTTCTCCAAGATGTCAGATGGGGCCGTGTCAACAGAGAATCCTAGATCGAACTTTTGCAGCAGTTGGTTCCAGCTGGCGCTTTTAGGGGAGCGGGATGGCTGGATGGGTCTATTGCCAAATAAGGAACAAGCTTTTAAAACAGGCCACTGGCCAGAGGTCACTCTCTGGGCTAAGTCGCGATTGGTATGGCTTACCCAAAGCACTGACAGATTTGACAAGTCTCACAAGGCTCCAGATTCGGTGGGTGTGGTACGATCCATGCTAGCTTGCCCATGTGTTCCTCCAGGGATCCTGGGACGCCTTCGGATTTTACAGCTCCTATGGACGATGTGCAAAAACAGTAATAGTGGCGGCCCAGTGAAGACGGAAGCTCGTGTTGAGCGGCAGTTTTAGTGGCTATCATCTCATCTGCGTGCACAAGGTAAGGACCATAGTAGCTGCAATGTAGGCAGTATGCCAAATAGTGGGCATTGGGAGAAAGGATAGCTCATCGATCATGGTTAGATGCTAGAACCTGGAGAGCTTGATCAGGTTAGGCGCGCTGATTCCTGGGACTAGGGGTGCTGCGGGTTAAGACATCCGCTGGACAGGCGCATTAGGTAGTGTGGTAAGTGACAACTTGCAGGGAGATGGGTAGGTGGCGGGGGGTACTGGTGTGCGGAACAAAAGGGAGAAGAATTGCGAGGAGACTCGGATTGGTCCCCTGGTGCGGTCATGCATGGTTGGGAAAGCCTGCAAGCTTGTCCGAGACTCTGGGCAGTGTGTCCGTAGTACGGGGTGATCAATTGTTCATATTGGCCCAATTGCGGCACAGTTGATTTGGAAATCCTAGCGAGTCCCAGCAATTTGGAGCAGAAGAGCGCAATTTCCCTAGCTCAACCAAGTCAGAGAGACCACGGCACTAAATAAATGTACATAGTACGGGGTACATAGTAGTACAGTACAGTTGCAGGGGTAAAGAGCAGAATGGAACGGGATAACATGTTAGGATTGCATTATCTGAAGCGTATCTGAAGCGTCATTCGACAGGTAAGATACTTGAAGCGGCCCTTCTTGCTCAACTTTGACGGCAGCAATCATCGTCATGACGCTTGACTCATCATTCACCACTTCCATGTCACCTGGGCCCTCCGGCCCGGTGGGTAGCTACTCTACCTGCAACGGCTGGCTTCGTCTCTCACCATTAGCTGTTCGGTACCGGTACCCCCGTCACTGGCCAGCACCGAAGCGGGAGCGGCTGAGGCACGTAGTAACCTTGTTTCTCGTCAACTTGATAGCACGGAGTAGTATTTAGCGGCCATTGTATTTTGGACGCCGAGCCATGAGAACCCTTCCTGCGCGAGCGACATCACACCAACCCTGATTGGACCGGGAGGGGCCTAATATGCCATGTGCCATGTACCATTTTCACTTTCGGTAATTCATCACAAATCGCCGGAACCCAGACTGGTCCAGACGCCTTCTTACCCTTGGCTAATCCCCGATTATCTGACCCATTCTTTATTACGGAGTACTACGGGCGATAAGAGATAGCTCCGCTCAGAGCTTCCAATGCTTCGTCCAAGGCAAGTGCAAAATCAGCTTCGTATTATGCGGCTCATCCAGCGCGCAGAATCGCTTTTAAGGCCCCCGGTGGATCAATTTCATCTCCTCCAGCCGCCGAAGTAAACACAACAGCCAGGCCGAGATACCTAGAGTACAACGTAAACCATCAACTAGGTGCTCGATGATCCTAATTAGCGAGCAGCGATCAGAATCGGAGTTAGCATTGACTTCTGGCTGGACCTGTGATGCAACGTTTGGCAATGGCAAGGTGATCACGGAAACAGCAGCTTCTTTGAGGTACTCGTAGGTACGCGTCGGTACGAAGTACTTTTGGTACACACATGTACTTTGTTGGAACTCCCCTTAAATGATCACTCGTTGCACAGTCCCGGCGATCGGGATCAGTTCTTCCACAACCTTGGTCACAAACCCTGCAGCTGTCCTAACTAGGGTGGTACTACGTCGAGGTGAGACTGTGTCACGGTACAAATCAAAGATCTGCCTCCTTCGATACGAGCTCAGAACGACGTCCTATTGTGAAATTATACTGGCGTAGATTCGTTCGTACTAATCTACGGAATACTCCGTACTCAGTCATGTACAAAGAATGTGCCCGACGGAAGGACCAGACAGGGAAGGCTAGTTAGTTATGGAGCGTCGGATAGCTTGGATTTCGTTGTCAAGTTTTTTTTCTCTTGCCCGGTGTCATTTAAGTGAGCTTGGTCAGCGCCTAGGCTACTGGCTTCGAGCTATGGTGGCACTTCCACCTGATCCGTCGGAAGAAATAATTTTGTCTCTAACACAACAAAGCCAATCACACCCCTACTTAACCGAGGGGCCAACTGTTCGACGCAACCCCTGCGTTTGATTCATGCTCTTGCACATTGACCCTAGCCAATGCATAGCAGAGATTTTGCTGTAATCATCTGCTGCTGGTATTGTAAGGCGTAAGAACACAGCTGATTGTTCTTTTTTTGCAGGCCTTGCGCGTTGCTCGAGCACTGAGTTGCACGCGGCTTACACAGTCTAGAAAGCGGTCAATGTCTTACATCTAACTTGACGTGAATTATCACGAGGTTAGCTTGGCCAACGCTCAGCAAGCCATCAACCACATCGCTGGGGCGGTCTCTTAAACAAGAACCAATGGAGTGTATCGATGGGATCCATGGGTGCATGCACGCGAAATTCGATCGCTGGAAACGGAATCCCTCGCCTACTGACGGGGACAGTTGCATGTTTAGATCTTGGCGTATCTTCATGCAGTGTGATATCCCTGTATGCCTCCGCAATCACCTTTTAGTCGCTCAATCTGCTCACCAGTCAGTGCGCCACATGTCCAAGATCATCTTCGAGTACCCAAAAAGTACAAAAACGTGTTGGATTTGAAGCATGGTCTTTCCGGAAACGTGTATGGCCATGAGGTACTAACAGGCATCCACTTCACGACCGAGTCGCTTTGGGGCAAATACTTAAACGCCCTTTCGGCGAGTGTGATGGCTGTAAAAAGCCACAACCCGAGAGCCTGGGTCCGGACGATCGCCTACAATCTGGCACCTCCACATCCGCCGCCTTCGTCTCCCAACCCACGTGTTAGCGCGCTGACAGCAAGACCGACAGAGATTATTACAGATATTGGGGTCCAGGATCATCCGACATGCTCCAACAAAGATTTCGTCGGCCTTTGCCTGATTTGCTCGAGGAATGGCATGCGGTCAACAAGGGGGCTGATTGCTTCTCCACGAAAAGCGCCTTTGCCGATGCGCTCCGCTTAAGGTAACTAGATGAAAGATAATCTTGGTTATGCAATACCAGCCACTTGCTGCTACACATTTATTTATTTATTTGATTCTTACACCGATGTGGTCCTGGCCTAGGGCTGGTCCATGCGGGGGATACGTACAATTAAGAGCAGTTATAACTCTTAATAACAAACAAGAACAAACGCAAGGAAACCTTTCTAGGGAAAAAACCTTACCGCCAGTGAGTGGACGAGTTCTTTGGGGCGCTTCGACGGTGTGCACAGGGCTCTGTAGCTGCAGTGTAGTTAGGCGCAAAGTTGTTCAGCCGCAAACGAGAACTGAGGGAGGGCCCCAGCCTTCATTAGCCAAAGCGTTACTATCTTGAGGGCCTTTGGATCGTCGAGGAGACGGCGGTAATCTGTCGTGCTGGCGGCGGCGAGCATCTTGTGTCTGTCCGAGAGCAGCGGGCAGTCTATAACTACGTGTTAAGCAGTCTGTCTTCTCCAACCGCACCTGCAGGATGGTGAGGGGATGTCTGGAACGTTCTGTTTGAAGAGGAAGTCTGCGAAGCTTATTTTGTTAGTCCTTAGCTGTGTAGTAAGAGAGCTTTGTGCCTTAGCTAGGCCTTAATGTATCCTTAATCTTTGCTTGCTGATTTCCTTACTCTGAGCAGGGCTTAGGGCTTGCTGGAGTGCTGCTAGGTAAGCGCTTTATAACAATTGCTAGTTCTCTAATTAAGACGCTCTAACTATTTGGTAATAAGACTAGTATTATTATCACGCTTTTATAAGCAGTATAACCACTTCTTATAAGGGTTTTTCCTATAGCAGGGAGCATTCTAGAGCTTAGTTT